GAATCACCGTCGCGAACGCGCCCCCGCGCGCGAGCACGCTGTACCCGACCCGCGCGCTCTCGCCGTCCCGGCCCCACGCGTCGTAGACGTACTCGATCGGCTTGCCGCCCGCCAGCGACGAGAGCGCGCTCTTGATGTCCGAGGGGGGCAGCGAGCGGTCGAGCACGTCCGTCGCACCGAGCGACTTGAGGAACGCCGCGTTGCGGGGGGAAGACGTCGCGATGATGGGCGCGAAGCCTTGCATGCGCGCGCATTGGATCACTGGCTAGGCGAGTCAGGCGCGGTCACGACGAGCGTACGTGGCAGAACGCACCGAACTGGCCGACGGAGGTCGACCCGCCGAGGACGAGCGCGGCCTTGCCTGCGTACTTGGTCGTCCCGCCCGCTTCCCAAGGCGGGGTGAAACGGACAGATTTGGCGCCGTCTTCGGATGCCCAGATGGGGGTGACAGCCGTCGCGAACGCGAGGGGGATCGTGGCCGCCTGGTCGAAAGAGATGTTGGCTGGGACCTGACGTCCGGTGAGCGGCGTCGTCCGTGAACTCGACGGAGAGCACGTACCTTCGCGATTTCGCTGGCAGGGTACGTGAGGTATTCCTTGAACGTCGCGCGGTTGTCGCCGAACTCCCCGCTGACCAACCTGTTCGAATGCGGTTATAGCCCCTCCTCGGCCAAACTCGCGTATGGACACGCACACTCTGTCCCCTTTGGCGACGTTCGTCACCTCAGAACCGACCTCCTCGACGATACCCGCCCCATCGAGCCCGAGGACCAACGGGTACTTGGACACGAGCGGTCCGCCACCGAGTGCCTTGATGTACGCGTCCACTGGATTGAGCGCAGCCGAGACGAGCTTGATGAGGACGTCGGAGGGACCTGGTTTGAGCACAGGCCAGTCGGCGACAAGCTGGAAGGGAGCCTTTTCGGCGGGGAGGACGAGTGCTTTCTGGGTAGTAGGAGCCATCTTTGTGCCAATATGTTGCGGTCAATGTAGACTCGAAACGCGATGGCTGCTTATATACACCAGACATCAGGTGGCTTGAACTTGTGTCTAAGCGGGCGTCTAGTAGTAGGCTTGAGCGTCGGAGTTGAGGTGGCTCGGTAGTCATGAGAGGGCCTCTCGGTCGGAATTGGCGGAAGGGGCTGGTCGGTGAATGTCGTGGGCTACGTGAGGGTGAGAAGGAAGGGTACGGCATTTGATAGTCCTGTGGTTAGCACTCTACTGCATCAGCAAAAGGCGCAACTAATGGGCATGCACGACCATACCGGCCAAAGCCGGCCAGCCCTTTCCGGCGCGTCTGCGTCCGCAAATTCTCACCAAGTTAACTCTCGTCAGACGAAAGATGGTAGGCTAACATCGGGCGGGACGACTCACGGCATATGATGGTAGCTAATAATTAGCAGATATGATTAATGGTCATTTAATTTTAATTGGAATCTAGCTGCCTGTGGGCGCACAAACTTTCAAGATGTATCTTTCGCTGCGAGGCATTCGGTACGGAGGAGATGCCAGAGAGAAAAACGGTCGCCAGTTCCTGTATAGTAGTATGACTCTGACCCGAATTGGCCGCGGACTTAGGCGTCTTGTTGACTGACGTCGCTTCGCCGCTATCACGTAGCTCCACGCTCTTGCTGGCCATAAAGCTCCTCGACCAACAGGCACCTTTCACCAACACCTCTTTCTTCCTACTTTCATCTCCCCACCTCTGTGCATACTTTTGAAGAAGTTCGAGGGCAAGCGGGCACAAATGGGATTCGCGTTTGGCCGGTGCAAACGCGTGCCGTACACAGTAGATACAATAAGGCTTATATACGTAGCTAAATAGGGGTAGATAAGGGCGCGGGGGGGCGGGACCTGTGGCGCTCGTTCCGCGAGCTCGCCATCTTGACGCCAGGATTCCAACACATCCCCTCGAGCGAGCGCGGGCAATGAGCGAAGGATAACAAACAAATCGAGCGGGACGGGGATAATGGAAACAGCGAGCAAGGAAGGAGGGGTTGTGTCCGCACAAATAAGGGATAACGTACAATAAGTCTAATGCATCCCCTTAATCGGGCATTTACCACGCTTCTATCTCCTTCTCGGCAAGAAGCTGATCGGCGCTAACGGTTGCCGAAAACGCGTAATGGGCCTCTTCAGTCTTAAGCTCGGGGCAGTCGCGCTGATAGTGGCCCTTCTTTGAGCACTTGAAGCAGGTGATGCGCTCGAGCGGGGTGCAGGGCTTCGTGTAAGCAGCGAGGGCGACTTCGGAGTCATGATGAGGCGGATTGAGGGACAATTGGCGCGACTCTTCGTTAAGTAAGCGGGTGATGATGTAATCGATGGTAAGCTCGCTAGGCGGGGTAGAGTCGAGATTGACGACCAGCTGAGAGTACGAATCGGGGAGGCCATTCGTGAGAACGAGGATGCGGTCTTCATCGGAGATAGAGGCGTCAATCTCCTCGAGGCGGAAGGCGGCCCGGCGGACGTCAGTGATCCACGATGTCATTGTTTGTTCCGGGCGCTTCGTTAGGCGCCAGAAAGCGTGCCGGTGTGCGACCCGGGTACCAAAGCCGCGGGCACGGTGGACACGGCGGAGCTCGGTCCAGACCTCGTGAACATCTTGTGATTGGATGTGGGCATACTGTGTCACGGACGTTGGACAGACACCCCTTTTTGCCGCCCATTCCCTTCCCTTTGACGCCCACCTTCCATTTCCGGACCGTTTCCTTTCCTAGCTCATCCCAGTTTGGACACTGTAGATACGTTCCCACAGCCGCATGCTACGTTCCCGTGATCGCCATGCCCTTGCCTTTTCTTTCTCGCCCTTTGTTCTCCCTTTGTCATCTTCACTGCCTCGCTCTCGCGCCTTGTCCTTGGTTGCTAAGCAGCCCCTCTAGTATATAAGGACCCCCCTAGGCGCTCCCTAGTCCCCATCTCGACCTCTTGGTCATTGGGACTAGGTGAGTGACCATAGCGTTGTATCTCTCTTCGATTGCTAATGTATAACTTGGTCATTGGGACTAGTCTGTCGCTGCTTGCGTGAAGACTAGCTTTCGTCGGTCTTGTGCCTTCGTGCCGACC